ATATACATATATATATATATATATATATATATATATATATAAAATAAATGTTTAATATGATTAAAATGAACACTTCACAATAAGGCTGCACTAGTTAAAGGGGTCATGAACTGCCTTTTTTATTGTTTTGTACTGTTCTCTGAGGTCCACTTTTAATGTTATCAAGATTTTTACATCAAAAAACATAACTCAGAACAGGCTATTTTCTGTCCTGTTTTGACCCCCTCTCACGGGAACGCTCTGTTTGAATAGGCGTGGCGGATTGTAGACTCAGAAATAAACGCCCACTGCTATGATTGGCTAACAGCGGTGTGTGTTTGACAGCCTACGTCCTTCATAGACACTGCTGTGATTTAGGTTCAAAACACATAAATACTCAGTACATATCAAACGATCTGTAATAACAGACAAAGCAATAGTGACCACGTAATAAAAACAGTTACTCGCACTTGTGTGGTGCGACATTACTGTCGGATCCAACATATTCCGCACAGCATCGTCTTTTAGTTTCAATCTTTCTGGAAATCCAAATCTTTCTGGAAATTGTCATTTGTAAACGAATCCGCAGTAAAATGAAGTGAAAAAAGGACCAAGTTCTTACTGACGTGGTCTGGATCTTCATTAAAAATACAGTTCATCCACTCTTTCCTAATGTTGAGATCAGAAGGAAGGCGATGCAAAGAATGTGTTTTTCCACAACTTGGCAGTGAACAGTCTCTTGTTTTTGGAGCATCTTTGTTGTAAGTGGGCGGGGCTAAACAGGCAGTGATGTATAATCAGTGGGAGGGGCTAAGCAGGCAGTGATGTAGAATCAGTGGGAGGGGCTAAACAGGCAGGGATGTAGAATCAGTGGGAGGGGCTAAACAGGCAGTGATGTAGAATCAGTGGGAGGGGCTAAACAGGCAGTGATGTAGAATCAGTGGGAGGGGCTAAACAGGCAGTGATGTAGAATCAGTGGGAGGGGCTAAACAGGCAGTGATGTAGAATCGGTGGGAGGTGCTAAACAGGCAGTGATGTAGAAGCAGGCGTTGATGATCTTCTGCGGAGGCAGGGTTTATCGCTCTATTACGCCATAAAGTGTCACATTCCACAAGCTGTCATTTTGGCAGATCAGCTTAGAAGCTGTTTTTGGACTAACGGGAAAGTTTTGAGTTCTGAAACTTACAGGATGTTTTCAAAGTACAATAACCTCTTATATGTCACAAGATCAATGGAATTTTGATTTCTCAGTTCATGATGTCTTTAATATTAGTTAATGCATTAACTGAAATTAATTAACAATGACCAATACATTTGTTACAGTATTTTTTAATCCTTGTTAAATTTAGTTAAAAAACAAACAAACAAACAAACATAAATGTTCATTGTTAGTTCATGTTAGATCAGGTACATTAAATGATGCTACCAGATACAACCTTGATTTATTTTAATAATGGATTACTAAATGATGAAATTAGCATTAACAAGACTAATAAGCGTTTTTGTTGTTGTTGTTTTTTTTTAGTTCATGGTAACTAATGTAGTTAACCCATGTTAACAAATGGAAGCTTGTTGTAAAGCATTGCCAAATATTAAATATGAATACATTTATTGTTATGGTTAATATTATTATTATTTTAAGTTTGATTTTAAATATTTATATGCATTAAATAACAATAATTTTTTATAATCATATTATTTAAACTTGATCTTCTCCTCTATAATGGCCAAGAATGTTTGGTATTATGCACATGTGAAACTAATTGAATAATGAATCTAGACTGCATTAATTTCACAAACTATACCATAAACCTCCAGAGCTCCAGAAACATATACATTTTGTGATGTGTTTTTGAGACGAATGGGAAAAACACTTCCAGAACCCAGATTGCCGAAAAAGCAGTCATCACCGTTGTCTTAATAAAGATTGTTTCGATAAAACCTCTACGCTACAGAAGAACTACATGTCTACATCTGAAGAGTGTGTCTACTTTACAAAACAACACTTCTGATACCATAAAATACTGTTTGAGGGTAGGGCTGGGCGGTATATCGAGTTTGTACGATATATCGGTATATTTTTTATAAGCGATATGGTATGAAGCAATACTATTTATATCGATATACAGTAGTTTGATACGAGCACATCTGAATAACAGCAGAGGACGCAGACTGAACTGCTGCAGGGAAACTGCATACTCCAGTTTGTTCTAAACATGAGACATGCTTATATTAAGGGCTTTAAAATAACTGATAAAATATAGTAACAAGTCTAGTTTAAAGCGGCTCGCACCATCACTGACAGAGATGCTACTTGTGCTGTTTAATGTGTTTGAGATGTGCTCTTTTCCTCAGTGCATAACTTATTTCTAAGGGATATTCTCCATCTGTAAATGCTAGAAAGTCATAGAAATATTTCCATCTTGCTGTCAGGAGCGCATGAGCCTTCTGCATGTGATTCTCCACTAAACTTCACTAAATGCAGGCACACCAAACAGACGGACCGCAATGGAATAGGAGCTCAATAATTCTGACTAAAATATACATTTTGCTAAAACATTTGTAGTTGGACAATAAATGTGCTGTGTGCAGATTTTGAAACCTACAAGTAAGTCTATTTTATGACAGCAGTAACTGTAAAGTGAATATTGTAATGGGCTAATCAAAATATAATGCAATTAATCTGTGCTTTTGTTTTTATTTATTTTCATTTGTAGTTCTGCTCTTTAGTTCTTCTGCTTTAAAAAGCACAGTTTTTGTTTTTAGATTGTAATGCTACAATGTAATGCGATTTTAGCCCCTTTTTTTTGCACACAATAGCCCATAGCCTATATGGTTACTTTCACTATATATGTTTTCATTGTCTTTAATATAAACATTATTTCATTGGACAAAATTGGGCAGTATTAAATAAATAAATATTTTTAATGCAAATAGAAAAATGTAGAAAATACCAAAATATCATCGCAATTCAGCCCAAAAATACCAAGATGTGATTTTTTGGCCATATCGCCCAGCCCTATTTCAGGGTAAAGATAACTAAACTCTAAGCAAAAACAACACAATCTGTATGAATAACTGCAACAATACAGCAAAACGCCTTTGATTCTACATAACTTATGCTGATGTAAACAGACAGGTGTCGCTGTGACTCACAGCTGGGCGTTTGCGTGCTGTACGTCGACGCTTACGGACGCTGCAGCGCCGCATGGATCTGCGTCTCTGCGGACCAGAGTTAAAGAGCACTGAGATCATCCCAAAGGCCCTCAACCCCTGATCGTGCTCTTCCACCACACGTCCCTATCAAACCCTTCACACCATGAGAACTTGACCTTATGACTATATACTGAGCCGACCTTTGCAGTGACAGACCGCAGTTTCATTTTGTCAAAGGTCATAGGGATTGTTCAATGACAGTGTGGCGCTGATGCAAAATGAAAGCGTCGTTGCATAACATACCCTCAGAGAAGCTCTAATGCTTTTTGTACCCGTTTTTATGTTGGCATAAACACAGCATGACTATTGAAGAATTTCTGCTCCGTTGGCACAAGTACAGATCAATGCATTTTTCACTGCTGCAGTTGCATTAACAGTACGACACAGCTGCATAAATATGCATTATGTAACGTTTATGTTGAAGTATATTTCCATTCATTTTAATGGGAAAGTGTGCACGAAAATGCACAACCGCAGACATACCTCATTGAGTCGCTCCACGCTGGCAGTCCCAGAAAACTCCCCACCCGATTCTTGATAGTCACCTAAAAACATAAGATTGAACTCTAACATTAATGCGCTTAATGCAAGGGGAAAAAATATTCACATATGCATCATGATTCTTTCTCAAACTAATATGCATTGATGGAAAGGAAAAAATAACATGATAAAAAAATGTCAAATGAATAAAAATAACTGTATTAATATTAATAAAGTACAGCATTACTACTACTAATAATGTATTAAAATAATTTAAAGAATACATACACACTTTAAATTTTATTATTATTAATAATATATTACATGTGTGTGTATTGTTAGACTTTCATTTTTGAACATGGGTTTCATAAGTGTAAAAACCTCCATGGCCTGTGAGTCCGTCTCGCAAACAGCATGGAATTCAGTGTAATTAGTCTTCCATAATCTCACACTGTTTGACACAGACCCTAACCTCCTCAGAATCAATGGGGCTCCTTTACCGCTAATCCTATTAAAGATGTGAAAATCTCTGAATTTGGAGGATGAATGGAAAAAAACTCCTTCCAGCGTGCTCGGCTTATGCATTACAAAACCAAAGCATTGGAAAAAATGCTTTGCATCACCTGCCTTGGGGGCCCAAAATACCCCCCTACAATCTGAGAGCGTGTCGGATGGGTGAAGACAATCCCTGCATACCCTGGGCTTCCTCTGCCTCCGCTGTCTCGATTTTATCCATCAGATCGTTGGAGCTCCATTTGGTGATCTCCTTGGCAAAGATCTCCTCGTTGTCAGAGAAGCCCTCTGAGGAACAAGGATTCAGACTTTAGTAAATAACAGATTGCCATGAGCACCTTCTAAAACCGAGGATCAAACCTGCAATACCGTGAGCGTCAAAGAACTCGTCATCTGTGCTGTCCTCCGAATCTCTGGCGATGCTCTGCATGCGCCATTCAGAAATGCTGTGGCGTGAAGGACTTCCTGCACACATACACATTAAAGACAAATAATAAATCATGTTAGTTCTGTAATCCAAAGCTTAATATGAAATCCCCCCACCCCCCAAAAGACACTTAACAAATAAATAATTTTGAAAAAAGTGTTCACAAAATATAAAAAGCAACATATAATATAATGTAATATAATTATGAAATATTATTACAGCTTGAAAGAACAGTTTTTTAAATATATATTTCAAAAACTCCCACTCAATTTTTCATAGTCACTTAGAAACTTAAAGGGGTCATATGATGCGATTTCAAGTTTTCCTTTGTCTTTGGAGTGTTACAAGCTCTTGGTGCATAAAGAAGATCTGTAAAGTTGCAATA